CCATCCCGGCGTGCAGCGCGCGCCTTTGCCCTCGCCCGCAGCGACTTCCGGCTCGTTTTCCAGGGCCGTTCCCCGCCCCTTACGCGCCCACCAGTAGGGCGGAAGACCCTAGGCTTTTTCTGGCGAAGGGTCCACTGGCGAGCTTGTCCCAAGAAAAAAGCTAGGGGTTCGTGGGGTGAAGGGAGAGTCGTTTAGGAGGGGGTCTGGGGATTTTTTTATAGAAACAAATGATTTGTTTCTAAAAGGTATCACATGTGCATAACCGTAAACGCAAAAAGAAATGACAAGTAAATGTCCACCTGTGTGTTACCCCCTGTGCAACCCCCGCCCACCTCTTAGATGGCTCCCCACCTCTCCCATCTCCCTTAGACCAGGGTCCAGCAGCTTCTTTCCGGAGCAGAAACAGGTGGTGGGCTGCTAGGGCCAGCCACCGCACTGAGGGAGAGAATGGGACGGGGGAGGTTTCTGGTGGTGAAGAGGCAGTGGCCCATTTGTTTACAAACGAGTCCTTTGTTTTTTAAAAGGTAACACAGGCACTTAGGAACACATTCCAAAAGTACAAAAGGGAGTAGCATGAAAAGTGTCCCTTCCTCCTGTGTCCCCAAACTCCCCTTAGGAAAAATACTGTTAAATTTCTTGTATGGCTGGCCAGGCTCGGTGGCTCATGCCTGTAATCCCAGCACTTTGGAAGGCCGAGGTGAGAGGATTGCCAGAGTCCACAGATTCGAGACCAGCCTGGGCAAATTGGCGTGACCTCATCTCTAGCCGGGCGTGCTGGCTCGTGCCTATAGTTCCAGTTACTTGGAAGGCCGAGGCGGAAGGATCACCTGAGCCCACCAAGTTTGAGCCTGCGGTGGCGGTGAGCATTCCACTGCACTCCAGTCTGGGCGACAGTGTGACTCCAACTCAAAAAAAAAAAAAATTTCTTGTGTGGCCTTCCGGAGACACTGTAAGTAGGCTCCTTGGCAAAGGTCAATAGGTATACGTATAACCCTTCCCCCGCAAATGATAGCATTCCTTACATAACTCACTTTCTACAAGAAATATATAGAAATTGTTACTTATCAGAACATGCAGGTGTCTTGTTTTTCTTATTGGATGCAGTCTTTTATAAGATTATATGAATATACACAAGTTCATTCAACTGAGCCCCTTAGTGAATTTACTTCTAGAACAATATTGCAGTAAATATCCCCATGCAAACTTAATTGTGCCCATCTGCACATTTTTATTTGGATCAATATTACTATGAAGAGTCTAACAACCTACCCTCTATCACCAACATAAGGAAGTGTCATAGGTCCTAAGTACTAAATGAGTCCACATATGAAGCCCATGGCTCTCAGAAGGACCTTAGAAAATGAGGTCCCTTTTTTTCTTTCCCCAAATCTCTTCCCTACCCCATTACAACCAGAAATTCTTGCGAACTAGAAAGCTTTTCAGACTCCAAAGAATACCAATGAAGTCACTAAAATCTTGGAGCAGGAAATTTATTTGGCGTAGTTTTCCTCTTTGCTCTTTTTTTTCAGGAATCTGTTTCATATACTAGCATATTTTTTTTTCCTATATACATTGAGGATTTTTTTTTTTTGAGTTGGAGTCTCACTCTGTCACCCAGACTGGAGTGCAGTGGCCGGCCCCGGCCACCTCAGCCTCGACCTGCTGGGCTCCGGGGATCCTTCCGGAACTACAGGCGTGCGCTACCACGCCTGGCTGATTGTTTGATTTATTGTAGAGATGGGGTCTCGCTGCCCAGGCGGGCTCAGGCAATCCACTCACCTCAGCCTCCCAAAGGTGTGGGATTACAGGCTGAGCCACCGAGCCCGACTACATTGAGGATTTTTATCTACCCGTCCAAGATAAGGAAACTGAAGAAGAGGTAAAATGGTCTGCTCCAGGTCACATGACTGGTATCTGACAGAGGTTAAAACTTACATTACTGACTCTAAAATCTGCACTCTGATTCTTAGTATCTGAAACTATATTGTAAATGTGATTCTTTGAATGTTTGTATTAATTTTATAGTTTTGTATGTTATGTGTACTTTTTATTTCACTTCCGCTCATGTTCCTTTTCCATGTTCTGTAAATGTTAGATTAAAAAATCCCAGTGGGGCCTCTAAAATGTTAGATCAGACCTTCGGGGGGGGGGTCTGCAATCTGGTGCCATGCAAAAGATGCGAAAAATTGCACAGAAGTTAGATTGGAAAATATAGTTTATTTAGAAAGTAAACTGGCCACAGGTCCGTGACCCACCGGGGCAATCTGGCAAGACCTCATCTCTACAATACATCAAAAATTAGCCAGGCGTGGTAGTGCGCACCTGTAGTTCCAGCTACCTGGAAGGCTGAAACCCAAGGATAACCTGAGCCCAGTAGGTCGAGGCTGCAGTGGCCGGGAGTGTGCCACTGCACTCCAATCTGGGCGACAGAGTGAGACTCCAACTCAAAAAAAACAAAAAAACAAAAAGAAAGAAAATAAATTGGACACAGAGAGAGAGAGAAGATTCACCTCCCCAAGAAAGAGGAGGGGGCCAAAACTAGGAAACATGGCAGCCATGGCTCAAAGAGCCACATGGACACACCAGGATTTAACAAAGTAATGGCTATAAAGTACATTAGAGAGACAGAGGAGATCCACCTCCCCAAGATGGGGAGGGGTCCAAAACTAAGAAAACATCAGCCATAGCTCAAAGAACACATGGCCTGGCCAGTGCTTAACAAAACAACGGTGAATGGCTGCTTGAGGTCAAATGCTTTTAAACCTTCACTTTGGTGTGGGACAGGTTAAGGTGGTTGGGTGGTGTCTGTGTCATGAAGGTCAGGAAGGGCAGATTAGGTTAACTTGTTTATGAAACAAGCTGGGGGAGGGGGAATTGTAAAACAATTATCATAAGCTATTTCTGAAACACCGGATCTGTCCTTGGCTAGTGATTAGAGGATAAATTAAAGTGAACTGCTAAAAAAAACATGACAGCTGGCCCAGCACGGTGGCTCAAGCCTATAGTCCCAGCACTTTGGGAGGCCGAGGTGAGAGGATTACCTGTACTGGCTGGCGGGTTCAAGACTAGCCTGGGCAACATGGTGAGACCTCGTCTCTACAATAAATCAAAAAATTAGAAATTAGCCGGGCATGGTGGTGCATGCCTGTAGTTCCAGCTACTTGGAAGACTAAGGCGGAAGGATCACCGGAGCCCAGCAGGTCGAGGCTGCAGCAGCCAGGACCATGCCAGTGCCCTCCAGCCTGGGTAACAGAGTGAGACTCCCAACTCAAAAAAAGAAAAAAGAAAACTATGGTGGCACTAGCAGTGTTAAAATGGCTGCTCACTGGGTATACTGGCTCCATCTTGTGTCCTTTCAGTCAACATGAATGTCAGGACCTTAGTTGTGATAAGTATATCCCGCTGATCTTGCCTGAACCTAGTATAATATTTCAAGTTGTACTGACATGTATCTGGGAGCAACTGTGAGACTCAAGCCAGAGGCTCTCAAAGGGGAGATAAAATTTAGGAAAACAGAGTTATGGGTCATTTTTTTAAAACCTTTTTATGCCGGGCTCGGTGGCTCAGCCTGTCATCCCGCGCCTTTGGGAGGCTGAGGTGAGT